TTCTATATTTACTCCCCTCCAAGTATAATCCACTCTTATATTTCAACTTCAAGGACATACAGTCACCTCTAACTCCCGTGGCTCCACACATAAAAACTCACGATCCTCTGTGGCCTAGAATCACCAAAACATCTTCATTCTCCTTTGCCCAGTATATGTGAGGACAGCTCCTCTTCATTGCCGTGGCTGACACCCCCATCCAGAAAGAACGCCATCGGTTTGCCATCAGCATTTAATTGAAGAGGGATTCTCTGTTGTGGGGACCTGTCCTGTGGATTGCGGGATATTTAGCAGCCTCTCTGGCCTCTGTCCAGTAGCGCACCCTGAGGTGTGACAGCCAAACATCGGCAGACATCGTCAAGTGTCTACGGGGAGACAGTGTCATCCACTGTTGATAAACCACTACTTTAGACTGACAACCAAAGACATCTTTGAAATGTTAATGTTAATGTTAATTCTTTAAATTTCTTCAATCCTTTTTAAAATTATTCCAAAATCCCTTCTACCAGATTCAATCAAGAATCGAATGCTTATTTTTCAATTTCTTTCACCTAACTCAAAGTGCCCTTCCTCTCATACTCTGCCAGTCTGTTTATTTATCCCTAGACAGAGTCAAACACAGCAAGAAAACTTCTAGGCTTAATTTTATACCCTCATCCGATCGCTGCATTTTGTTGACATCTTTTCTTCTCAGGACACTTTATGATCTTTCATTCTCTTCCTGTGGCCTAAATGCTGATATTCTTCTGTGTTCCATCTGGAGGCTTCATTTCTCCTTACTGTCTATCCATCAAGTGGTGGTGATGACCACCACCACTCCTGCTCCACACCTGTATCTCCAGGATGACCCGCTAATTTTTCCAACTAAGAACAAGACCCCTAAGGAAGAGCCTACAGACCTCTCAGAGTCCACAGGTCCAAGAAAAGTGCCTTTTCTTCCCTGGTCAAAGTCTTCCTCCAATCTACATTTCTTAAAAAAATGACATTATAATGCATCCAAATACTGAAAATTACCCATTTCAAATCACCTGTGTCTAAATCTGCCTCTACTCTCTCCCCACTGCTCTAGCCAGACCAAACCCATTCTACAGAAGCATCTGGGTTCCTTGCCTCCAATCTTTTTCTCTGGCCAAGCCTCATCTATTTCTTCCTTTAATGCCCCACCCTGTCTATAGGTCTTTGATGGCTTCCCATTGCCTATTATCTAAACACTGTGTTGTGTTTTATGTAGAACTTAGACAGTCATCAGACCACGACCTACTTTTCTAGTCTCCATTTTCCAACATTCCAGCCATAGCAGTCCACTCACCATTCACTAGTGTGTCCCATGCCTCTCACTCAGGCTCTTGTCAGGAAACGGAAACCGCACTAGGCATTTCGACAGAGAGAATTTATCAAAGGAAATCATTAAACAGGTGTTTTGGAATTTAGAAATGAGAGCCCCTGCAGTCACTCAGAGATAGTAACTGTGTAAGTAGGGAGGAGCATCACTCCTGGGCAGAGGGCTTACAGGGAAGGGGATGGGTTATTAGAAACTAGAAGTACAGGGGGAGACCCTACAGACATGGGAACTGCATCTCCGAGGAGATGTAATGCCTGGCTGCTGCTGGTATCTCTGAAACCAGGCAAGGGCCCCTTGGAGCTGAGCTCAAACTTCTAGGGAAGGAATGCTGCTGGGCTGCTGCTGATAAAGCTGGTTCTGAATAAAGCAATGCACTGGGACCAAATGCTGCTATTGGGATGAAGGGCCTTCGTGGGGCAACAACGTTAGGAAGAGCCATCAAGTGGGAAAAGGGAAGTCCCGTCACCTTCTCCAGTGCCTCTAGTGCCCCCTGTTGGTGGAAGCCAGGAGACAATTTGGAGAAGGAAGGGTGGATTTAGGGTGGAGAGACAATTGCTTAATAACCAGCACTCTACACTTCCCTGTCTCCTCATCCATTCTCATACAGCTTCCCCATCCATAATGCTCTCCCAACCAATATCTGCCCGGAGTGCACCATTGGTCAGATACAGTGTCCTTTCTAACCTTCTCTAATCTTTCCCCAAATAATTATTTACACTAGCATCTCAGTTCCCCTAGCATTTTGCAAATACTTCCTTTATAGTCTTTTTTGGTCTCACAGTTACTTATGTATGTTTGTTTTATTTATTTTCTGCCAAACTGTGAGCTCCTTTAGGCCAGGTGAAGTTACAACCATACCATCTCGAGCAGGGTGCCTGGCACATAACAGATGTTGGCTGAGATGGATGGGATCGATAAAGGCGTGTCAATGAAATTCATATTAGATCACTTCTTGTACATATTTTATCTTCCCAACCAGACTTGAACTCTATAAGAGCAGAGTTCACGCATTATAATTTTTTTTTTATTTTTTCACGGTGTTTAGTACAAGGCTTCATACGCTGAAGAAGAGCTCAGTGATATTTGTTAACCACCTAGTTTATTCGTTAAGCATCACAAATTGGGTTCAAAAAGGCATGAAGATGGAGGATAAATGTATGAATAGCAGGTAAGACCTGTAGTTAGGATGAGATGTGCTTCTAGCCCATGATTCCAACAGAATGCTGTTCACATGCTGAAGCTCTGTGTTTGTGGACTAGCACAATCATGAGACTAAGTGCAAAATGTCTTATAGTGAATTCTAAAGTAATGAAATATATGCTAGGTTTGATTTCTTTCTGTTTACCGCTTACAGAAAAACAGATATCCCCAATCCACAATATTATTAATCCTGGGTTACATCTCTTCCTTGCATATTTATTGAATTTCTCACACTCCCCAACATCAACTAGCAGATTATTTAAATGTACAAAAAGTATTGAATCTGAACTTAATCACCAGCTTCTTGGAAAAAAAAAAAAAAAAGAAAGAAATCTCTGTTCAACTGATTTACATTCAAGACCAAGAAGAAAAATAGCTTTTTTTTTTTTTTAAGGGCAGCAATATTTAATTAACTATTGATTTCTTTTCAATTATTCAAGGCAAGCAATTATCGATATTGATGGAACAGATATTTCCCTACGTCTGGTGCCCAAATGAAAGGAAATATCCCATTCAGCAATCTGTTGCCTGGAAGAAGAAATGCTGAGAATCTTTAACTTTAAATGGAAACAGTTATTTGGATCTCTTTATTCCATGTTGCCCCAATTAGACAGATATTTCCTGAAGTGTAAGCAAAACAAAATCCTGAAAACCTATGTTTGCTTCTCAAGTTAAAAGCAACCATCTTGACCATGGGTGTAACCACTCTACCCACGTAGATTTTGCCTCACAGCTACAGATATTGACATTTTTTTTTAACCATGACACATAAAACACTATCATTTGAGTCTAATATTCAAGATTTCTACCACCCAACGAGAGGTAGCTTATATAATCATTAGAGGCCCTGAAATACTACAGTGTATGTCAATATGTTGAGCCTCAAGGATTTGGTAGGCCTTAATAGTCACTTCTGATATTTACAGACAGCAAGTGTAGGTACATTTGAAAATTATACCAGTGCATGATGCAGCCATCTTAGAGGTTGCCAAAGACTTACTGTGGAAGAAGGTAAAAGAAGGCCCTGCTTAGAGCACTTTGTTATGAACTCTCTGAGTGTCCACTACCATCTTTCCTCAGCTCATTTGCACACAGGGCCTTAGCACATTTGTGTGTTAGAAGCTTCTCTTGAAGATGACATGACTGCTGAACATGATTAATGGACAAGCAACATTCTCTATTGAATTACTACTTGGGAGGGTTTTTTTTTTAATACTTTGCACTTGATAGTAAGTAACATTGTGTGTGTGTGTGTGTGTGTGTGTGTGTGTGTGTGTGTTTAATTCATGTGGTACCCCTGGGGAAATTTGACCATGACATTTTTTCAAAATGAAAAATGTTATAATTTATAAAAATCTACTTTTTCTGCTCTGTCGCCACCCCCCACTCCAGAGTGGTTCTATATATTAAGTGCTTAAGCAGCATATGTTGCTGGGAAGTGTTCTTGACTCTTTTACTCTTTGTTGTTATTTTAATTTCCCTGGGTCCTATTTAACATTCTGCTAAATCAGTGAAACCTTGATTATCTAAAAGAATAGGAGACATGGAATTAATGAGGATAACCAGAACTTTGAAATAAGTAATTATTAGAGATGGAAATTACATGACAGGGACCATGAATGAATTTCAGTATCTGGAATTGCTTGGTTGATTTATTCAAACAGATTCTATTAATTGATGGACAGAGTGAAATTTTGGTAATCAGGGTTTCATCACCGCATTTTTTATTATTTGGGGAAATCAAGGTAACCTTGGACTCTACTCCCCATATTTACAAGGCAATGAATATCCTAATAGGGCTGTCAGGGGCAAATAGGACCGCTCGTCCTCCCTCTCCTCCCACGCAACCACTTTCTCTCTTCTGATCTGGCTGCCGCCTGCCTGGAGCATGCTGCCTGTCCCCTGACCCGTCCCCTCTCCCCTCGTGCTTCCCTGTTGGCTCAGTTTTCCCTGCATGCAGCGGCTGGAATCACCTGCAGGCAGAATGTCCCGCCCCTTAGAGGTTCTTGGTCATTTTAGCAATAATGCTTTGCATTTTAACTACCATTCATCTGGCTTTTAAAACTCTGCATTCTTGTACGGGGCACTCCCCCTTTAAAAACCCGGGAGGTCACAACAGGTCCCAGTTCTATGAAGAGAAGATACTTCCAAGCCAGGAGTATTACAATCCTTCGTATTCAATAGCCTGTAATGGACAATGATATCATCCAAGATTGCAGCAAAAAAAAAATCTATCCGAAAAGGACGAATATGATTAAAAAAAAAAAAAAAGGCAGCAAACTACATTCGTTTGGAAATTGGAGTCACACGCTTAGTTTCTGTGGGGGGGGGAGGGGGGAAGCACAAGATCGATAGAGATTTTTTTTTTTAGCTGAAAAACACGATGTACTAGATGAACTTAAATTGATTCTGCTTCTCCTCCCCGCGCCCCGCCCCACCCCCACCCCTCGTTCTGCAGCGAATGTCTGCGACAACGAGCTCCTGCACTGCCAGAACGGAGGGACGTGCCACAACAACGTGCGCTGCCTGTGCCCGGCCGCGTACACGGGCATCCTGTGCGAGAAGCTGCGGTGCGAGGAGGCAGGCAGCTGCGGCTCCGACTCGGGCCAGGGGGCGCCCCCTCCCGGCTCCCCCGCGCTGCTGCTGCTGGCCGCGCTGCTGGGCACAGCCAGCCCCCTGCTGTTCTAGGCGGGCCACCCACCAGCCACCAGCCAGGTCGGGGGGCGCGCGTGTCCCCGCCCGGGGAGGGGGAGCCAACGTAACGCGAGCATTCGCTGCTAACATAGGAAACACACACTCAGACACCCCCACTCCAACACCGTGTACAAACTAAGGCCTAACTGAACTAAGCCATATTTATCAGCCGTGGACAGCACAGCCCGAGTCAAGACTGTTAATTTCTGACTCCAGAGGAGTTGGCAGCTGTTGATTTTACCACCGCAAATCACACGGCCAGCTGCAGAGCATATTGCCCATCGGAAAGGCTGCGACAGCCCCCGAAACAGGAAGGACAGCAAACAAGTCAAGCAACCCAAAAACAGTCGCTACTCTCCCGCGGGGTGCCCCAGCACCACTGGCCCGGTGTGTGGACCAACCAAATAGAAGCATTCTTTGCTGGCAGTGCACTGTGGGTATAAGGAAATCTGTTACAAGCTGCCATATTGGCCTGCTTCAGTCCCTGAACCCCTTCCTTCCAACCTGTGCTTTAGTGAACGTTGCTCTGTAACCCTTGTTGGTTGAAAGATTTCTTTGTCTGATTGTTAGTAATGCACATGTGTAACAGCCCCCTCCAAAAGCTCAAGCCAGTCATACCCCGTATATCTTAGCAGCACTGAGGCATCCCGGTGCGAGCACACATCCACTGTCCAAGAGTGGCTATAGGAAAAAAAAAAAAAAAAAGTGTATCTATCCTTTTGTATTCAAATGAAGTTATTTTTCTTGAAATACTGTAATATGTAGATTTTTTGTATTCTTGCCAATTTGTGTTACCAGACAATCTGTTGATGTATCTAATTCGAATCAGCGAAGACTGACATTTTATTTTGTCTTCTTCTGTTCTGTTTCGTTTCATTGTGCAGAGATTTCTCTGTAAGGGCAACGAACGTGCTGGCATCAAAGAATATCAGTTTACATATATAACAAGTGTAATAAGATTCCACCAAAGGACATACTAAGTGTTTTCTTGTTGCTTTAACACTGGAAGATTTAAAGAATAAAAATTCCTGCATAAATGATTTCAGGAATTTGTATTGCAATTTCTTAAGATGAACGGAGCAGCCAGCGAGCAGTTCCACACTCACTTTACTGGTTTCTCTGTGGACTGAATACATTCAGCTGACGAATTTAGTACCCAGGAAGATGGATTGATGTTCACTAGCTTGGACAACTTCTGCAAAATATGAGACTACTTCCACTTGGGAAAAATTATAACAGCAAAAAAAAAAAAATTCTAAATGATTGCCAAGATTATGCCAAAGCCTGTTGGCAAAGTACTAAGAGACTTTGATTTTTAAGTCATGCTATTTTCACAGATTGATGTGATCGTGTGACTCTAGGGATGCTGATCTATGTATCTTTGCAAAGTACAGTGTTTACATGGAGTATCATGAGAGGCAACCTGGAGAACCAGGAAATTCGCAGGGAAATTGAGTGATTAGCAATTTGAATATATTCAGACTTAGTATTTAGAAGAAATATCAAAATATACAGCAGCAAGTAGACATGACTGCTGTTCCTGAGAATAAAGTTTGTTTTAAGTACCACCCAAGGTGTAATAAATTGTTTCTGCCTTTTATCAGGCCAGTTGCTGTGCAAGACAGGAAGGGGAGGAGGGTGCGGGAACCCTCGCGAAGTTTCAAAGCGGCTCGAAGGGGGTGTGTTCCGTTTCCGGCACACGGTTGTCTGAAAGGTTACAAGTGTGTTAGCAGCAGCATCTCCTGGAATCAAAAACAATTTTCCGCCCAAGCCGGAGTCTTCTGGACAATGAAGTCCACCCTGACTCGGTAGAGCAATAATCCACGAGAGTGTTAGATTAGAAGCCTGCTTCCGGTCTGAATTCTTCACCCTGCCATGGGGGCGGGGCGGGGGGGTCTTCTGATAAATAACCTGGGTCGGAACTAGACGAAGGAACATCAGGTCTTACTAGTTTCGTTCCCAGAAAAGCCAATTCAAAAAAGGCAATAAAGGGTAAACAGGTAATGCCTGTGCTGCCTGCCACCCCACGTCTAAGTCGATTGAATGTTTGTTATTCAAGCCAACAGTCTCTTTTGATGTAAGAAATAAGGAAAGATGGAAATAAATTCGAGCTCGGGCTTAGCACCAGAGTGTCCGACCAGAAATTGGAGATTTACATTAGAAGCATAAACAGCAAATTATATTTCCGACTCACCAAAGAATACACATGAAAATGCTGATAACATACAGAGTTTGAGATTACTTATAATGAGGTGGATGCCTCATATTAAAATTGGAATTTAGGTTGTCTTATAGTTTATTAGCACAAACCAAAGGCAGACTGTGTTATTTCTAGCAACGATGCACTTTATCATTATCCACTCATGGCTTTGTCACACAGCTCAGGAATCAGACTCCGCACATTTCAATACATGGGATTCCAAAAGCTAATTCTAAAATTTAATGAAGGCTTGCTCTAAATCAGTTCATCTGCATTTTATCTTTATGAGGCTATAAGAATCTAAATTGATGAGGAATATCTTGTGTTCCATGTATTTAGATATAGTTTTCTGAATTTCCTGAAGTGATGTGATCTGCTTTTAATAAAAATTCACTTTTAGGTATATAACAAATGGAAATGAAATTTTCTTTTAAATCTGGATTCTCAAGTTCTTCTAAAGGGTTTATTCCTTTGAAGAAACCCCAACTCAGTGGATTTTTATTCAGCTGCTGCTTTCAGCATTCTTGCCAAGTGGGGTCCATCTGCAATATTATGTCTTTGAGAACAGGATTGGGGTGAAAAGTGGGTACTAAGTTGTTCACGTACTTAAGGTCCTAATTTTTGCTTCGCCACCTTTCCCGCAGATTAAAACTATAATTCCTTCCATCAACACCATTAATCAGCATAAAACTTCAACAAAATTTTTATCCAAAGGTTCAGCCCTACAGAAAGTATTTCTAGGACAGTAACTGGACTGCCCTGCTGTGATATGGAAGTGATTCATTTCTGTCTCTGTTCCCGCCTAGAGGATGTACTTTATAGTCCCAGCAAAGAGGGGCCCATTCGGACCCTCCTCTCACTTGGTCTCAGTAGCCGGGAACCTCGTGTTCCCTTTCCAGATGGCCTCTACCCACTTACAGGGCACGTATGCACCTCTTCCAGGGGCCCAAACTTCCAAAGGCCAGCCGCATCAGGACTGCATATCCCTGGACACAGGGGTGGCCGATGGTGAGTCTGTGTGGGTAGGTAAGCGACTCGGTCCTGGGAGTGTACGTGGGAGAGTTCACGCACGAGTGAGAAGCCTGTTGCTGTGAAGACCAGAGCTTAGGAATGGCAGGAAGGGGTCTAAAGCGTGCGAGATAGAGACGGGGGCTGCCTCGGGGCCAGGGCCCAGTGCAGAACTCTGAGCAGACTAAGGATTATAAATCTACAACTGGGCTTCCACTTCTTAGGAAAGCATTTGCATCAGAGTGGCAGATTGGAACATATTTTATTCAACACTGTGTTAGCTTAATGTATAACTTTTAAATATTTAGACATATGGCACATGGGCCTCCATTGGTACCTATGTCCTGGCCCCCACCTGGTGGATCTGTCTGGAGGTAAACACGGCACGAGGCGCCCTTGCATTAAATCACTGTGTTGGCACAAATCACTCACGCCGGTAACAGAAAGGTACAGGTTGGAGAAGGCGTGGGCCACAGCTCAGCAGTTGCTGTAGTGAATGATCCTCTCACCTTTTCTCAGACCTGTGGCCTTACTGGAATTATTTGAAGTTTTGGATGGACCAGGGGCAGCTGTGGGAAACTCTGAAGTCAGATCTTTTGTCCCATTGCCTTCCTTCTCCACCAGCAATAACCCAGTATTACTGGGATGTAAGGACCCCATATTCTGAAATAGGTGCTCTGCGCTATATGGGATATGAGTTGTTGTACTTCATGTGTTGTTAAAGACTAAAATTACAACAACAACAAAACCCAACAAACAAAAACCTGTTCAGCAGTTTCTTTGCTCACAGGATTGCACAGAATATGTGGGAACTTTGGACTATGTGTTCTATATATTTGTTACATATGGGACTCTGTATCTTATGATCTAGGGCAATTTAAAGTTTCAGCTTTAGAAATCTGAACTAGAATTCCTTCCTCACCATGCTTATTCCCAGTCTTTATCAGCAAGGATGAGAATGGTGGCAGCAATCAATCTACAAGTTAGCACAATATGAATAACCAGGTAAAACTGGATTTTTTTTTTTTTTTGGCAAATACAATTGGAAGGCCTTTCGTGATATATAATAATGAAAAATAGACAGAAGGAATACTCCCAGAATTTTGATCCAGACATCTAGTTATGAGCAATCCTTTCTTTGCCTCAGGAAATCAGGACTAGATTCTAATCCATTTTCTGTCTAAGAAATATCAAATGGTGATCTGGCACAGACATTTCTATAATTCTTACCAGATCCATAGAGAAGAGTTTTTCCCTTTTAACTACATTTTCATTTTTTCTTACATTAAAAAGTAGCATTTCCTTTTAGTTACCCAGAACAGATGCCAATAAGCTCCCAGCATAAGCTACACGTAAACATGATATCAGGTCAGAGAGAATTAAGAATGCCAGCCATCACATTTTGAATCTTCACCAAAATCTTGGGAACATGGAGAACTTTTCCTCTTCACAACACCTGGGAAGGTGTGACTCACATATTATCATCTTCATTTTGCTTCTGAAGAATCAAATAACTGAGAAACAGATATATCCCTGGTATAAATCATATTACTGCATTTAGCTAGAAGTGAGAAAACAACATCTGTGAAAAACTCACATTAATATTTTTTTAAATGCAATTGTTTGAGATAGGTTATGGCAGAAAAATTCTGCTCCTTACACGTTTTTAGGGTAGGTCCTGAAAAAGTCTAGCAAGAAAACCTAAATGATTCTAAGGGCGTCGTTCACATTGGTACAAGTTGAGCATCTAACAGATGCCAGGATCCCTCTTCTACCTTCTCCTGTCACCCAAGAGCTGTTTTTAATTGATGGACGAATTAAAATAGAGTAGTAACATTTAAAATTATGTGATGTTTTTATTAACCTGAAACGATAGCTGGTAAAATGGGCCATTATTCTGAGACCTAATTATGTTAACGCTGAAGATTCAGCAAGGCTGGCTGAAGCGAACTGCAAAAAATTGGAAGTAAAAATAATACCCATTTTCTTAACACTGTCCCAGTTTTGCAGGGGCATCCCTTTTAACGATTATTTAATTAGTGAAGGATGAATTGTATGTGAAAAAAAAAACCAACTAGAAGAGAGAAAACATAATTACTACCTCTCCTACATCTGTCTGAATAGACTGAAAATCCCTGCGTGGCAAGAATGTGTCAAGTTACGTTAAAGACATAATGTGCCATGCTGTGTATCCTCCAGCCGCCCTGCCCTTGATATGACCACGTTACAGCTTTACTCTTACAAGGAGCAGTCATTCTAATCTAACAAAAGAAGGAAAATGGCAGAAAATCACACACCTGAAGTCCTGTTAAGAATAGGTGATTCTTTTTGCCCCAGGCAGGCAAGAACATAATGTCATTTTTGTTCGTTTGTATTTGTGCTCTGAAGGGGGGCTGCTCCTGTGGGGGAATGGCTTTCCCTCTGCTGGTGTGAAACACGGCAAGAAAACATTCTCCGAGGAAATAGCATTTCAAAATTTACCAGCCGTGCCTACCCCATGAAGCCCTGAGTAATTGTTTTGGCTTGCATGGTGTGTGATAAACACCTAAAGGCAGAGATTAGTGTCAGCCCTCTCGATCTCTTTTTCCCCTCACTGGGGAGGAAAAAATGGGTCCAAATATGGAGGGTGACATTTGCAAGAATGCTTCCGTCGGTTGATGCCTAATTATGAAGACCCCAGCTAAATATTTAGGTTTATTAAATTAATAGTGTGACAAGCATTGGAGCAGTTTTACAGCCACTTAAACTCGTGTTTACATCCTGTGTAATTACAATTCATAATTGGGAAAGCAGTCAAATCGAAATGCATTCTGATCAATGGTTCTTTCTGCC